CTGATATGCAGGAGAATCGCTTGAACCCAGGAAGCAGAGGTTGCAGTGAGCCGAGATCGCACCACTGCATTCCAGCCTGGGTGACAGGGCAAGACACCATCTCAAAAAACAAACAAACAAATGACGATATTTAGGCTGGACACAGTGGCTCAGTGGCTCAGGTCTGTAATCCCAGCACTTTTGGAGGACAAGGCAGGCAGATCACTTGAGGGCAGATCACTTGAGGCCAGGAGTTCTAGACCAGCCTGGCCAACATGGTGAAACCTTGTCTCTACTAAAAATACAAAAATGAGCCGGGTGTGGCTGCAAGCATCTATAATCCCAGCTACTTGGGAGGCTGAGGCAGGAGAATTGCTTGAACCCAGGAGGCGGAGGTTGCAGTGAGTCAAGATCACACCACTGCACTCCAGATTGGGCGACAGAGTGAGACTCCGTCTCAAAAATATATATATGAATGGCATTTTCATGGTTTTATAACCACACTCACAATTATCTAGACATAATCCTATGTAGCAAAGGTTTAGGAGCTTAACATAACTCCTTTTGTACCATAATTTACTCATCTTCAGTTCTTCGTTGAAATGCTAAACAATGGAATTATTTTCATGATGGATACATGGCTGCTATACATCTCTAGTGCTGACACATATGGCATCTCAGAGTACCAAGAAATGTTTCCTTTCAACTAAAAGGCAGTATTTATGCAAACTTTAAATAAATTAAAAAATAAATTTACTACCACAGCTCACCATAGCTTTATTTTTTGATATTTTTATTAAATATTTTTATTTTACTTTTTAAAACAGAGTCAAGGTCTTCCTATGTTACCCATGCTGGTCTCAAACTCCTGGGTTCAAATGATCTGTCCATTTTGGTCTCTCAAAGTGCTAGGATTACAGGTGTGAGTCACTGTGACCAGCCAGCTTTATTTTTAATAGCCAAAAAAACTGAAAACAACCCAAATGTCTATCAACAGATGAAGTGATAAACAAATGATGGTATATCCATACAACAGAATACAACTCCAGCAATAAAAAGAAACAAATTACTGTTATATACAGCAACATGGATGAACCTCAAAATAATCATGCTGAATTGAAGAAGCCAGAAAAAAGGGCTCATACTCTATGATTCCATTTATATGAAATTTTAGAAAATACAGATTAATCTTTAGTGGTTGCTTGGGGATTAGGAGGCAAGGAGGAAAGGGGCAGGGAAGAAGGAAGGGATTATTAAAGAGCATGAAGAAACTTCTGGAGGTGATGGTTGTACTCATTATCTTAATTATGGTGATAACATTACAGATGTATACATAAGTCAAAACTCATCAAAATGTACATATTACATTTGTGAAGTTTACTCTATGTCAATTACACTTCAGTAAAGCTCAAAAAAGAAAAAAAACCTTTCTCTAAAGAGAAATCAAGGGCCAGGCGCAGTGGGTCACATTTGTAATCCCAGCACTTTGGGAGGCCGAGACAGGTGGATCACTTGAGGTCAGGAGTTCAAGACTAGCCTGTCCAAAACGGTGAAACCCCGTCTCTGCTAAAAATACAAAAAATTAGCCAGGTATCAAGGTGGGCACCTATAATTAAGGCTACTTGAGAGGCTGAAGCAGGAGAATCACTTGAACTTGGGAGGCGGAGGTTGCAGTGAGCCAAGATCACGCCACCGCACTCCATCCTGGGCGACAAGAGTGAAACTCCATGTCAAAAAAATTAATAAATAAATAGAAATTAAGGAAACAATCTCATTTACAATAGTTTCAGAAAGAATGAAATACTTAACTACAAACTTAACCAAGGAGGTGAAAGGTCTGTATGCTAAACATCATAAAACACTGATGAAAGAAGTTAGACACAAACAAATGGAAAGATATTACATGTTCACAGACTAGAAAAATGCTGTTAAAATATCTATACCACTCAAAGCAATCTACTAGTTCAATGTAATCCCTATTAAAATTCCAATGACATTTTTCACAAAAATAGATTTTTAAAAATCCTAAAATTAATAAGAAATTACAAAAGACCCTGAATAGCCAAACCAGTCTGGAGGAAGAACAAACGTGGAGACACCAGACTTTCTGACTTCAAATTATATTACGAAGCTACAGTAATCAGAGACCATGATTCTGGCACAAAAACAGACACACGGACCAATGGACTAGAATGGAGAGCCCAGAAATAAACCCTATAAGGTTAGCTAGAAGGTCAACTAATTTTCAACAAGGGCACCAAGAATATACAACAGGGAAAGGCCAGTCTCTTCAAAAAAATGTTGTTGGGAAAACAGATACCCACATGCAGAAGAACGCACTTGAACCCTTATATTACACTGTGTACAAACATTAATTCAAAATGGACTAAAGACTTAAATGTAAGGCCTGAAACTGTAAAAGTCCTAGAAGAAAATATATTTTAAAAGCTCCTTGACATTGGTCTGGGCATGGTATTTTTGATATGACACCAAAGTCAAGTCAACAAAAGCAAAACGAACAAGTGAAATTATATCAAACTAAAAAGCTTCTGTACAGAAAAAAAAGTTCAGCAAAATGAGAAGGCAACCTATGTAACGGGAGAAAATATGTGCAAACCATATATCTGATAAGGGGTTAATATCCAAAATATAAAAAGAACTCATAAAACTTAACACCAAAAAATCAAATAAGTGCTTATCATGACTAATAATCAGGGAAATGCAAATCAAAACCACAATGAGAAAGCACTTTATGCCTGTTAGGATGGCCATTATTAAAAAAAACAAACCAACCATAACCAGTGAAGGTGAGGATATGGAGAAAAGGGCACCATTGTACGCTGTTGTTCGGAATGTAAATTGGTATAGCCATTATGGACACAGTATGGAAGTTACTAAAAAAGTTAATAAAACAACTTCCATATGATCCAGCAATCCCACCTCTGGGTAAATAGCCAAAGGAACTGAAATCAGGATCTCAAGGAGATAGCTGCACTTCCGTATTCACTGCAGTATTACTTACAATAGCCAAGATACGGAAACAACTGAAATGTCTACTGATACATAAGTGAATAAAGAAAATGTGGTATAGACATACAATGGAACATTATGCACCTTAAAACAGAAGGAAATCTTGCCATCTGTGACAACATGGATGGAACTAGAAGGCATCATGCTAAGTGAAATAAGCCAGACACAGAAAGACAAGTACTGTATGATTTCACCTATTTAATGCATGTGGAATCTAAAATAGTCAAACTCATAGAAATGGAGAGTAAACTCGTAGTTGCCAGGGGATGAGAGGAGAAGAAAATGGGAGGTGATGGTTAAAGGGAACAAAGTTTCAGTTATGCAAGATAAATAAGTTCTAGAGATCTACTACAAAGAAAAGTGCCTATCACTAACAATATTGTTAATTTAACATTAGACCTTATGTTCAACGTTCTTACCACCAGCACCAAAACAAAAAAGCCAATAATAATGATGATAATAATAATCACAAAAGACATAGGAGGAAACTTTGGAGGTGATGGATATGTTTATGGCTATAAGGATTGTGATGGTTTCATGGGTGTATACTTATTCCGAAACTCACTGAGATGTATTCACTAAATATATACACCTTTTTGTATGCCAATCACACTTCAATAAAATAGTTTCAAAAAAATTGAAAACAAAAATAACAGTAAGACAATCAGTGGAGTAAATCTGAAATGAAAAACTGCATGAGCTTTCTGAGTGACAATTAGACTGCAAAAAAAGGTGTAATTTTTTGGCTTACCAGTTGTGCTTTTGTTCCAAGGAAGTTCTACCATAAGTTCCAAATAATTCCTAGTCAGAGCATATTCTGGCATTGACTGAGGCATTTTTTTGAGTCTGTGGAGAAAGAATACACAGCAAACTTGTTCAAGAACACAGAAAAATTCTGTAACAGAAAAATCAAACAGCTCTCTTTCTTGGTTAGATATATCATGCATGTTTAGTTAAACAAATCTGAAAAAGTTTGAAAGTATCCAGACAATAAAACGTTTATTTTGTTTTGTAATGTAATGATCACCACTCCTCTCTCTCTCCCCAGCCTACTTTACTGCCCCTTCTGTAGTCCCACCAGGGAGGGGTTCTTCCCTTCTGCTCTGCTTTCTCTACAATGTATTCTCATATTTTCTAAGTACTTAATGTACTTACAAAACAAAATAAGGCAGATACCTGCAAACTGCAGGAGAAAACAGTATATCTAATTTTATCCTGGAAATATGGCCTCACTAGTGTGTGTCCCTTTTAAGCTCACAGGGATAGTCAAGTGATACATATCCATCGGTTTACTTAACACAGTAAGATGTAAGTGCCTAACTATGCGTAATACAATAATTTTATTCTTTTGTATCAGAGATGAGTGAGGTCTGCTCATAAAAGCAAGCTAATATCATATACTTAATAACAAATGCTACTTTCATAATATATGCAGTGCTGAGCAAAGTGTTCTGCACATAATAAATGTTCTATATATATTAACTAATGTCAGAGGCAATATAAAATACCCATCAACTGCAATTACCAATGTTCTTAACTGTGAGCCTCAGCAAGTCAAATATGAAGTCACTAAGCATTCAAGCAGGCTCATTACAATTCACTAATAAAAGAAAATGGAATAAGAGTTATAAAGTTAAAAGTATGTAAAGGAAAAATGGCTTTCAGTTTAACACTGGGGATATCCAGAAAATGTAATCAACCCACATATCCTATTCTGTTATCAAGGTTTCCCTGTACTTTGTCTTGTACGAAGAGAAATGGACAGTCCTTGCCCTTGAGAGTTTATAATCTAGAGAAGACAAGTCACATGTGAAGAATACGATGCTAACTGAACAAACATTACGTATAAACAAAGAAGCATGGTCTGTTCTTTCAGACAACAAAAAGGCAGCTGCAAGAGTTATAATGCTTGACAGCACACTGCAGGTGGAAGACCTGCACCATGCATCCTCAGTATTTGAGAAAAGAGTAGTGAAAGTGGTGTTAGGCGGCGTTGGAGTCAACATGGAGGAGTACGCGCGAGAGCCTTGCCCATGGCGAATTGTGGATGACTGTGGTGGGGCCTTTACGATGGGTACCATTGGTGGTGGTATCTTTCAAGCAATCAAAGGTTTTCGCAATTCTCCAGTGGGAGTAAACCACAGACTACGAGGGAGTTTGACAGCTATTAAAACCAGGGCTCCACAGTTAGGAGGTAGCTTTGCAGTTTGGGGAGGCCTGTTTTCCATGATTGACTGTAGCATGGTTCAAGTCAGAGGAAAGGAAGATCCCTGGAACTCCATCACAAGTGGTGCCTTAACGGGAGCCATACTGGCAGCAAGAAATGGACCAGTGGCCATGGTTGGGTCAGCTGCAATGGGTGGCATTCTCCTAGCTTTAATTGAAGGAGCTGGTATCTTGTTGACAAGATTTGCCTCTGCACAGTTTCCCAATGGTCCTCAATTTGCAGAAGACCCCTCCCAGTTGTCTTCAACTCAGTTACCTTCCTCACCTTTTGGAGACTATCGACAATATCAGTAGGACTTCTTTCCTAGGATTTCTTTAACAGAACGAGTTGTAGTTCGAGAAGGATTTCAGAAGATCAAGTTGTACCGTCTGTTTTTAAAACCATAGGTGGGACAGCTATGGCCAATAGGCTATAAAGAGACATTTAGCACTTTTTTCTATTTAAAGGAACAAGGGGGGAGGGGTGCTAAAAGATAATACATTTATTTATTCACACTTGAATTACATTTGTGATCAAAATAAATGTTTAAATCGCTAAAGGAAAATACAATAAGTGCTTGAAAGATGAAGGACCAAAGGGCCAAAAAACAGTAAAATATGATCATCATCTCCTTGGGGACTTCTCTGCCTGGTTTTGTGTGTTCTGCTATTCAGACAATAAAAAGCTGGTGGAACTTAAAAAAAAAAAAAAAAAAGAAAGTGGTGTTAATCAGGAGTACTAAGAATGTTAATCAGGAGTACTGAGAATGAAAACAATAATGAACAAATGCCTTTTATAATTTACCTCTTTATCTCTTTGACACAGACTTTATGGGCCTGCTCTGGCATACTAGATGTTTGTATTTTTTTCTCTAGCATGACAATGTCATCATTATCTTCATCTTCATCTTCATCTTCTAAAGTACCTGAGATATGTGTAATTCTCCTAATAGGGCGTATTGCTATAACCTAATGTAGAAAGCAGAAGAGTAAAACCGTATGTCAAAATAAATTGGAAACAGTACCCAGGTACACATAAGATTATGACTGGTGCTGAATAAACATTTTTATGACTATAGTCTATAGCTTTAGGAAGTGAAGCTCAGAATGATAATCTGAACTTCAGGCAGTTGTATACAGAGAGGCAGTAGAATTGCAAAAGCAGACCAGCATAAGGTAGACATGATTCTTTGGTATATGCTTACAATAATACGTGCATGAGAAAACAAATTTCAAGGAACTGGATACCAGAAATGATTAAACCATCTAGGAACTATCTTTCTTTCAGCTACTATTGCAGCCACTATTTTCTTGAAATACATTACTTCTTACCATTTGGTGACTGAAAAAAATTCCATTTTATTTCTCACATTACAAAATTTCTTCCTAGCATCTTCAACCTTTCCACCACTGGCTCTATTTTGTCTTCAAAGCTTTCCTGCTTTCAAAATATTTTTTCTTACCTCTAGTTCCTTCTAGTTAACTACCACACTATTTACTTCCCTTCTTGTGAGGTTCTGTGACAAGTGGCTATAACCACCAGATCCCCTACCTCATCAATCACTTCAGTGAGCCTTTGGCATCTGTTCCCATCCTGCCAAAATTGTTCTTTCCAATCTAAAAAACATATTCCGTGCAAAGTCAAATGGCCTTTGTGTTCTCCGCTATGATCTCTCTATCATATGTTAAAACTACCTTATGCGCTCCTTGAAATTCATGAATAAACAACCATTACTGGAGCAAAATGATATACTAGCATTTAATTTAAAAGCCCCCAGAACATTTCATTTTTTGAGACAGGGTTAAGCTTTGTCATCCAGGCTGAAGTGCAATGGCATCAACACTGCTTACTGCAGCCTCAACCTCCCTGGCTCAAGCAATCCTTCCACCTCAGCTTCCTAAGTAGCTGGGACTACAGACACACACCAGCATGTTGGCTAATTTTTAAATTTTTTTTTTGTAGAGGTCTCACTATGTTGCTCAGCCTGGTCCTGAACTCCTGGCCTCAAGCAATTCTCCTTCCTTAGCCCCCCAAAGTGCTGGGATTACAGGTGTGAGCCACCACATTCAGCCCAGAACTTATTTTTTAACCTGGAAAATTTATCTATTTAATACATTCAAATATAAAAATGTTTAAAATATAAAGCAGTAAATAAAAATTTAATTTTATAAAAACATAAGTACTAAATATACGCTTTTATTCTTATATGTCGTCAGCAGATAAAATATTATAAATAAAAAACTGAACATATTATATATATTTTTAAAAGTGAGAGTTCTATAAGCATATCAGTGATTTCATTGTTAAGACAAAAGCACTTTTTAATGCATTTTTCCTTCCTGACTGCTAAAACAGTGCTTTTCAACTCTTAGGGGAATGAAAAGGACAGAGTTTTAGGCTAACTCCAAATATTATCCTGATTCCTACTTTTTAAATAACTATCTCTTGTTTGATCATTTTCTGGAGCACTTTTGAAAACCTTTCATTTTAAGTGATGGCAACCTTTATTGAGAGTAAGTTGAAGTTTTCTGCAACTCCCAGTGGATTTGTCTTTCTACACAAAATGAGTAATTGAATCCCTAATCTGATCTCAAGCCAGAAATAATCCAGTTTTCTGCATGTTTTAAACAGCATGGTGCTCTGGAGTACTAAACCCCAGCATGATGATCACTGTTCCTCTCTCTCTCCTCGGCCTACTTTACTGCCCCTTCTCTAGTACCACCAGGGAGGAGTTCTTCCCTTCTGCTCTGCTTTCTCTACAATGTATTCTCTTTGATGACAAGACTTCTGTACTGATGAACATCAAATTGCTAACATAATTCTCAACACCTCACTTAAGTCAGAGTTCTGCATCTCCAACAGCCTTCAAAGAACTGCCATTTTCACATCCTGTCCATATCAAATATATCTTCCTAATCTAAACTCTGTCCAGACATAAAAATTGAAAAATCAACAGATCAAGGTAGACTTCAAACAGATCCCATCATACATATAAATGTAATGGATGATAATGGGGATGGGAAGGATTATTTAATTAGTGGTGTTGAGTCAAATAAAAAGCTATTTGAAGGAAAAATACAACTGCTGTCTTCACAATAATATATGGATTAAAGAATTAAATACTTTTAAAAAAATCAACTAAAGTTAAACTGAAAGGAAAGTGAATATTTATCAAGCCACTGGAGGTTAGAGGACTTAAACTCAGAAAACAAAAAAAGATCAAGAGTTTGACTAAATAAAAATGGAAACTCTTGTAAGTTGAAAACAGCCAAATTTCGGACACAACATACAGTCCCTTTAAGAAACAGTTTTGTATTACTTCCTTAATACTACATGCAGTAAAAAAATGTCACACTCAAAGACACCCATCACGATTATTTGTTAGTGTTCACAATATGCAAAACACTGGAAACAAAAGGGGAAATGGCTCAGTAAATTATCCTTTTGGACGATAACCAAAACAAAGTGAGAAAAATGCTTACATGCTTTAAAAAATAAATCCAGGCAAAGACAAGGATGAGAAGGAAACATCTAAATTTTATCAGTAATGCGAGTGGTAGGAGACAATAAACTTTTCTTTTTTGTTCTTCTCTTTATTCTCCTCTTTTTTTCAAATCTTAAATGGATTAAAATAAATATTTACCCTCTTATCATCATCTTGCTTGGGTTTTCTGGTTTTTTGAAGCAATTTTAGGCCTTCAATTTGTCTGACAAGCAGTGGTATAGTCATCTTGAAGCGCTCCTCTAGGCTCACAGCATCTAAAATCTAAGGAAATGCGAGTCAATTAATAGGATCTCTCTCAAAAACACATAATCCAAAAACAGGCAGTCAGAGCCATGGTTTGAATTGCCAAGTTAAAAAAAAAAATTCTTACCAGTATTCACAGCTACACTACGGCTAAGACAACCCAAATGAACTATATTAATCAGCAAGGTTGTTTGAGATGAGTATCAGAATCCTCAAAAAAGAAAGAAAAAACAGAATCTTGATTTTTCACTTTAAAATGAAGCTGTGTGTTTTTAAGATTAAAAAAACCAGATACACAGTTGACGTCAACTCTTTCTGGGAATTATTCTCTTAAAGCCCAGCATGTGCTTTCATATTAGATCTAAACAAATTATAAGTTCAAAATATTAAATGTTTACATACACAAGACAACAGAAGCACTGAACCAACTCTCACTAGTGATTTGTCGGAGCACGGGCCGCTCTCCGTTCCTGCAGTAAAACACACTGCTGCCGCCCACAGCCAGGGGGCTCTCTGGCAGTCCTGTAACTCTTCTACTCCCACCGGTTTAATTGAATTCCTGCGTATAACCAACCTGTTTGTGTTAGTTGCATTTGCTATTGTAACAGTTGGATTTAAGTGTTAAATAAACTGATAACATATGAAAGAGCTGTTTCACTGAAAACAAACAAATGTTCTAGGATGATTCAGTAAAAAAGATTGCTTTAAAAATAAGTGTGCAAGAAAACTTAAAGTATTACAGTTTGGGGATTAAGTCATGTAAATGTAGGATTCTACACTTGGATTACTTTTCAAGTGTCTTTAAAATTCATTTCACTTTAAATAACTATAAATTTAAAATTATAAGTAATGTATCATAGGTGTGATTTATATAAAAAACATCATGAAGATTCTAAGAAAGCAGGTCCACATATAAGGGAAGGGCCATGGCTCCACATTTAAAAATAGTGAATCAAAGAATATCTACATATTTAAGTTAAAATAAATATTCACTCTTTTTTTTTTTTTTTTTTTGAGACAGAATCTCTGTTGCCCAGCCTGGAGTGCAGTGGCACAATCTTGGCTCACTGCAGCCTCCGCCTCCCAGGTTCAAGCGACTCTCCTGCCTCAGCCTCCCAAGTAGCTAGGATTATAGGCATGCACCACCACGCCCAGCTAATTTTGTATTTTTAGTAGAGATAGGGTTTTGCCATGTTGGCCAGGCTGGTCTTGAACTCCTGATCTCAACTGATCCACCCATCTCAGCCTCCCAAAGTGCTGGGACTACAGGCGTGAGCACGCAGCCAAATACTGACCTTTTAATGATTCTTTGCTTTAACTTTTTCTGTAAATTGACTATTACTACTGATTATACAAATAAAAGAGATGCTTGTGTAAACAAAAATATAAAACAATCACATTTGAAAGTCAGCTTAAATGTAAAAGCATTTCAACTACTTTGGGTCTCCAATATCTTTTTCTTGAAGGTCAAAACTTAACTACTCACTATCTAGATCTCAATAAAAAGTGACAAAGCAACCTGGCATTCAAGAAGGGAACACTGTACCTGGAGTTTCTCTTTGTTGCTTGTTCGGATAATTGATGTCAAGATGTCTGGTAAAGCTTCCCTTGGAAGACTATCTAAAAGACGTCTCAATTTAGCAACTGCAGGGACAGACATATCCAACATTTCAACCAACTAGAAGGGGGAAAAAAAGTCTTTTAAATGAAATCTGGCATTATTTGTGAATTTTTAAAAATCAGATTTCCATCTAGGTTTAATGTTTGGGCCTCAGTCTTTGTTTTTGAAAGATCACTGATTAATATAGTCCACGTATTTTACAGGCCTCAGAGGAAAAGAAAAGTACTTTCAAAACGTCAGTCAGAATGAAAAGCAATAATGGCTCAAAAGTAGTTAATACTAATGTTTACAAAGGCTTTGTAAACTTGTGCCATGATTATTTTTAACTTTCTATTGAAAAAAATTCAAAT